TCACAATGAAAATGGAATATCGTGCCCTTATTTTTAGAAGAAGAAATAACTTATGTATTTTATGCATATCTCATAACTTTTCTATTGAAATAATTATTCTCTTTTTACTATTATAGGTTTCTTGGAACTGGAGACCAAACAACATCTATTGCTTTAGATTTTCGAGTAAGAGAATCTACAGTCAGAATGTTATATAAAGAAATATGCTCTATTATAATGAGAATTTTGCCGTCAATGCATCTCTCTCCACCAACAGAACAGCAATGGATTCATATTGCCAATAATTATTGGAAAAGATGGCATATGCCAAATTGTTTTGGAGCAATCGATGGCAAGCACATCATATTGAAATGTCCGCCTAATTCTGGAAGTTCTTATTACAATTACAAAAAACAACATAGTATAATATTAATGGCTGTGGCCGATTATAGATATAAGTTCACATTAGTTGATATAGGAGCTTACGGGGGAAATAGTGATGGAGGCATTTTTGCAGACTCTGAAATAGGAGAAAGATTGAGAAATAATAATCTTAACTTACCAAATGGTATGGCTGCATTGTCTGGCTGTGATATAGCAACACCTGAATTTTTCGTGGTAGACGATGCCTTCCAACTTTCAAATAGAAGCCAATTCTGGCAAACAATTATCGGATAAACAAAAAATCTTTAATTACAGAATTTCAAGAGCTAGACAAACAATAGAAAGTGCTTTTGGAATATATAGTAATAAATGGAATATATTTCATAACGCTTTATGTATGTTACCTGAAACAGCAGATATAGTAGTAGCAGCTTGTGTTTGTTTACACAATTTTATTATGACTGAAAAAGAAATCAATGGAGAAAAACTGTACAGAGAATTCTTACTGTACTAGAATTCTTACACGATGTTGATGGGAACATGTGCAGAAATACACACTGGTTTTCAAATGACACACATTCACAAACTTTAAATACTCGTGCAGGTTTGGTACAAATAGACTTACTATGTGACAATTTCAGAACTTGTGCAAGTGAAGTGGGATGGCAATATGATTTTATAAGAAGAGGTTTATATAAAGAATAAGCATAACCAAGTTTAAACAATAAACATGTTATATTTATTATAAACTACAGAACTTGTGATTCCAACTTATGTTTACAATCTTCTTTAATATGTAGTAACTTAATAAAAACACATGGTTTTGCTTATAAGTTTATCGTCCAACTTTATTTGAACCTGAAATCGTTTATAAAAATTTTAATATGTCGCCTAATATGTAAATAAATATTTATTTATTGTTTATATATTAATAATTTAATAATAATAATTTTGGTTGATTATAATTTCTACTTACCCAACAGCATTTTTTTTACATAATTATTCAAGTGTGGCAGCCAAATGATGCAATAACTTTGCTATCAGTATTTCACGTGTGCAATGATGTTTCAATAAGGTACATCTGTATGAA